TGGGCCTTGTGGGCCTCGCTATAGACTTTGCTTTTTGTTCACTTGGCTGATGCAAGACACAGAAGGCAATCCCCAAATTTTCCTCCTGGTGAAATGTTGTTGCTAATCCAGCTTCTCCGTCCTTTGCTAGAACAGCAACTCTATTTGCTGTTAATCAGAATTAATCCAGCAGTACATTGGCAAGAAACCTGGAATTTACCAGGATCGGTCCATGATGTCTTAGACACACAGAAATTCATGTCATACTTGATCTGCTCTAATGGTGGGCTGCTGTTGAAAAGACAGGTCCTGTTTTCCCCATTGCAGTGTCAGAGCTGGTAACCCTGCGGCTGGGCAGCCTGATTTGCTAGAAAACCTACCCAAAGGGGGAAAAGGAAGATTAAGAGTTTTTTTGTCAGATGAGTAAGCTGAACTGATTCATCCTGGGTGCACCTGGTTGTTGGGTGGGACTCAGGTTTGGAGGATGGAGCCAGGGATGGGAAGTAGCAGCCCAAGGAGAGCAGGCATCCCGCTCCACCATGGTCAAGGGAGAGATGGGGCATCTCCAAGAATGGGTCTGGTCTTAGGTGGGTTTCATCCCCTTCTGGAGCAATTTCTTTCTCTTCACAGCACTGTAAAGACAACCTGGGGTTTCTGCACTTCTTACTTATGTACCTTAAGCTTCATTGGGTGACTTTGGGTCTTCAGCCCGAACGCCAGCTGCATTTCAGCTGATGCTTTGCCAAATGACATGTTCGGGGAGGCCAAGGGGTGCAGCATGAACAGGGGCGCGTTTCCCAACTCCATCAAACAACGAACGTTCAAAGACCTTCCCCTTGTACCATTTATTAATTAGTCCTTGAATTTGGCTATAGGGATGTCTGGCTTGGTGGTTGCCAGGGCAACCAAAGGTAGCCTAAGTAGCATCCTCTTCATCTCTGCATTCCAGAGGGGGGGACCAGTCACCAAGCAATGAGCTTCCTTCCAGGGCGGGATGCGTTAGCACATCTCCCTTGGGTGGGAACGAGGTGGCAAAGTCTCAGCTGTGGATTGGGGAAGACTAGTGAGAAAAGTCTTTAAGGAAGAGGAGAGGGAGGAAATCAAGTGCAGTGAGAAGAGTGAATTTGCAACAACACCATAACAGGGCTTTCCTCTCTCCCACCCCCCAACCATCAGCTGAGACCTGGGTTTCCTCTGCAGTCTAGTTTTAAAATCAGATTTTAATGGGGTTTTTTTTGGCAGGGAAATCTCAATGTGAGGTTTCCACCTGGGTCCTGCCACGCGATGGTGCAGGGGATGAGCAGAGCAGGGAGGAGGTATCGGGGCATGTGCAGGCTCAGGGAGAGATGTGGGATCCGGGGAGAAGGCTAGCACCCTGCTAGGAGCTTTGTCCAACCTTGGCTCCGTTAACCACCACTGGGTCTCCTTGGGGTTGTCTCAGGATATTTGCCATGCAGAAAGGATGAGGAAGATAGATACAAAGACCAGAGCCCTGCAGCCACTCTAGGCACCTGAAACGTGGGGGATGATGCTGCACCCCCAGCAGCTCCTGTTGAAATCAGTGGGTATAACAAGCCCCCCAGAGCTAACAGATGGCCAAAATTTATCCTTGGGATCTCTCCACGCCACAACAGCCGTAGAAATGAAGAGGTCATGGCTGAACCAGCCTGAGAGCAGACTGTTTTCTCCTGGTGGCTTTCCCTTTGCCATCCCAGGTGATGGGGGTGGTGGTTTCTGGCCCAGGGTTTTTCCTCCAGGTGAATCTCCCCGGTGCTGCAGGAGGATAACTCATCTTCATTTTACAAGGGGATACCTTGGCTTCCTGCCTTTGTCAACAGAGCAGCTCATAGGCAGCAATCCAAAGGCAATCCGATGTGGTTTCAAATGCACACTGTACACAAATGAACTGTAAATGCCTGCGGCATGTTTCTTTCCTCATTTCAAAGAGCGCTATCGATTGCTCCATGCGATGATGAAGCATGCTTGTACCTGACTAAGCTCTTCCTTGATTATCTGCCAATGCAGGAGTCTGTCTCTTGGACTGGAAGATGACCGGTACCTTTATTTCTCCTATCTTTTATCAGAGCTATTGGTTAAGTGGCTTGTTAACCTATGAATGCTTCATTGTGCTCCATAAGGGAGTTTTTAACTGGTAGTAATGGATTGCATCTCATCTGCAAAGCAATTGCAGAGCCAGTAAGGGAGAATTTGGAGCAGTGCTGCGAGGAGGGAAGAGGCAATAGATGTGCAAATACCTAAGCTGAGCTTTGTATACTGCATTTCAGCTGCGTAATGTTTCGTGCTTGCTGCTGGCTGGAGCCGTGGATGTTTCAGTGAGAGTCACTGTATCTGCCCACTGCTGGCTGTCAGTTTTGAGGCTGATCCGGGAGGGAATTCCCATGTCAAAAGGTGTTTGAGCAGCTGCATATCAAAGCCCAGTGTTGGCTTTGATTCTTCTCTCAGTCCTTAAACTAGGACTTTGGAGACTGCACTCTTGCGTTTCTTCAGGTGGCCCAACAGGAGCCCATGAAGGTCTTACCAGTGCTCAGAAAGCCAAGTCTCACACTGATGTGTCTTTGGACCTGCCGGGGTCTAATCCAGAGCCAACAGGATGCCATGACGAACTGAGCTGGGCTTTCGAAGGAGAAGTTAGGAGGTGCTTTCTCTGTTGAGACATCAAGTGGGAATAGCCACTGGGTGGGATTTTGGAGAAGAAATACCAGTAGATTGTGCTGACAGTAATGCAGGTACTTCCCTGTAAATGAAACATTTAACATTTGGGTTTTTGCTTTTTGAGTTTCCAAAGAGCTCCCCACTGCTGTAATTTCCCCTGGTAATAAAACATTTCAGTGCATTCCAAAGGCTGCTTCATGGAAAAAAAGTAGTATTTAGTTTAGGAGGGACTGCAGAAGGGAGCAAGCTATGGTCTGTCTGCACAGAACCAGAGGGGATCAGCCTTGCTGTCATTAGCAAAGGGATATCTGGAAATGTGTCTGCAGAAAGGAGCTCTACCCTCTGCGTCCTTTCTGCACACATATGTGTTTTCTCAAGAAACAGTCGAATGGGCTGGGACTAGGGCTCATCTTACTGATTTTCTGTTGTTTCTATAGAATAATGGACCCCAGAGGATTGCGTGTTGGCCTTTAGCAATGCTTTGGTTGCAGGCTCTTTGGCCGGAGTCCCAATTTCTGCTCTCTATTTGCAGGAGGTCTGGGATTTACCACCAGACAAGTCATATCAGTGATCAGGACAATATTTTTACAACGCTTTTTCCCCTTTGCACTTCTTTTGCACATTGGCAAGTAGTGCCTGGTCGGTCTCCTGGGAGGGGAGCAGGGCCAAGAAGACCGTGCTGAAAAGGGAGAGAAACTGCTGCCAAGGGGTGGGTGAGGGAAGGTGAAGTGTGAACTTCTAGGAAATGGTCCTGGGAAGGTGCAAGGGCTGTGGGGAAGGCACCTCAGCCAGATCAAAGGGTGTGTGGGAAAGATGATATTGCAAAGAAGTTAATAAAGGGCTTTTAAACAGTGGTGGGAAAGGTGAGAATAGAGACCAGGGGGCCTGAAGTGGGGATGGGAACACACGTTTAAAGGGGATTTTTCTTTTTTTTTTTTTGCTAAATGAGTGCTTGGCATGTGAGTCTCTGTTTATCACCAGCAGTGTAGCCAAAGAGCAGTGCTGATGGATCTGCTTGCCTGGTTTGGTGGGAGATTTGTTGCCAGCCTCCTGGAGACCTTGTTTGCAAGACATGAGGAGCCGTCACCCATGACTGCAATGAGAACCAACGAGGACAGCCCTTGCTGCCTCTACTGATCTGCAGGATGCTGGCATGCTCCAATTTACCCTCTCCAGAGATGACAGCTAAAGCTTTTTTGGCTGGCTGTTGAAATCACGCAGCTGCTGTTGCCTGCAGTTGTGCAGAGGAGCTGTTAGGATGAGATCTGCAGAGGTCCAGCAAAGCCGGTGAGGTGCAGATCAGCTCTCTTCCTCCCTCAACTGTGACAATGGAGGGACAGAAACGTCTTAGATGGAGAAGGGTCAAAACCTGAGGGGTGGAGAGAGCTCCTTGCTTGCTGGCATCGTTTATCTTGAATATTAATGAATACTTAATGTAATTAGCAAAGACTCCCCAGAGGCTCTACATGAAATAAATTGGCTCTATCCACTTCATGCCTGTGTGGGATGCTGGGCCCACCACAGCAGAGTCTGGGTTAGACTGAGCAGTCCTTGGTTCCTCTGCTTCGGCAGGCAAGGAGCCAAGTGGCTGTTGTCTCTCCTGCCTGTTGTCAGCCCGAGGACGGTTGGTTTAACTCTCTTTTTTAGCCAGCTGACATAAAGCAATGATCCTACTTCTAAATTTGCATCTGAAGTGTAAGCAAGGGAGACATGCTGTCCATTTGGGCAGTAGGCAGCTGGCCTTTCTAGCTGTTCACCCTGGAGGATGTTCTGATGATGCCGTTATCTCTGTCATCTATAGTAAATTTGAATGGAGTTTTGATTTTTCCTTCCCTGATAAGGGTTTTGGACACCTAAGGCTCCCTGGATGCACAGCCTACATGATTTCTCCAAGCTGCCAATGCAGGATCTTGAACCCGGCACTCCCAAATCTCACATGGTTGCCCTGACATGAAGACCTCTGTGTGCTGAAGTTTGCCAGGCTGTAAAATGACTCAGGGTTTGAGCTGTCATTTAGCTTCTTCCATGGTCCAGTCAAAAGGATGCACGTTGGATACATCTTGCTTTAAGGCAGCCTACTGTCCTTACAGCTGATTTGCAGTTGTGTCGTAACTTTGTTATGTCTGCAAAGACTGTTAACCCAATATTTTTTTCTCCATTAAGTTCCCAGTGGGGTTCACAACATGAGAGACAAAGTGTTAGGGATATCCATGCTATTTAAGGGTATACTTAATCTATCCTTTTGGAAAGACAGAGAAGACTGCACGACTCAAACTGTTACATATCTTCAGTAAAGTAATTTCTATTGCAATTAAATCTGTTTTCTTACCATCTTGTTTTCCAGGTCAACAATGCAGTTCCTAGCCTGGTTCAATTTGCTGCTTCTCCTTCCTTGTTTTGGTACCACCAAAACCTGCTTCCCTGGCTGCCACTGTGAAGTGGAAAGCTTTGGTCTCTTTGACAGCTTTAGCCTGACCAAGGTGGACTGCAGTGGAATGGGCTCACACATTGTTCCTGTCCCAATCCCTCTGGATACCTCCTACTTGGATCTATCATCAAACAAACTGGAAACAATCAATGAATCGATGCTTACTGGCCCTGGATACACCACCTTGGTGAGCCTCGACCTGAGCTACAACAAAATTGCCAAGATTTCCTCCACAACCTTCTCCAGGCTTCGGTACCTGGAGTCCTTGGATCTGAGTCATAATTCTCTGGAAGTCCTTCCAGAGGACTGTTTCTCCAGTTCTCCTCTGGGTGACATAGATTTGAGCAATAACAAGCTTTTGGATATAGCTATGGACATTTTTGCTTCAAAAGGTCAAGGAAAACCCCTGAATGTGGATCTATCCAATAATATGCTCAGCACAATTACAAGGCACCGTGAAAAGAACATCCCCAACATCCAGAACTTAAATCTTTCTGGAAACAGGCTAACATCTGTGCCTAATCTTCAAGGGATTCCTCTCCGATACTTAAATCTTGACGGGAACCCTCTAGTCAAGATTGAGAAAGGAGACTTCACGGGGCTGAAAGATTTGATTCATTTATCCCTCAGCAGCCTGCGTGGCTTTGGAGAGTTATCTCCTTATAGCTTCAAGGAACTACCAGCCCTCCAAGTTCTGGATTTATCCAGCAATCCCAACCTGAAGTCACTGACTGCTGAAGTTATCTTAGGTCTGAACTCCCTACAGGAGCTCAACCTCTCTGGGACAGGCGTGTCATCCTTGCCAAAGACTGTGCTGAAATACCTGCCTTCCATCAAAAGCATCACCTTGGGGAAGAACATACAGTGTCTTAAGACCATAAAAGAAGGACAGTACCACCGACAAATTGGGCTGACCAAAAAAGAGGTCCTCAGTTGCCACGACAGTCATGGGTCCGTAGCAGCAGCGCCTTACGTTTCGTGATGAAAGCTGGGGAGAAGGGGTGGGGAAGGGAGGGTGGGGGGCCATGGGATTTGTACAGGTGTCGGACTGAGATGGCTTGCAGTGTGCCTTTTGTAAAACTGTCAATAATTTATATATTTGTATATGCCAATACTTGATTGTTTGTGGATTTTATAAACTCTCAAATCCTGGCCCACATCATCTGCAGGCTCCAGATTTTGCCCAGTGCGTTGAGGTCCTGCGTGCAGGCCATTAGCTCAAGAGCGGTGATGCTGGACAATGGGGACCAAGCTGCTCTGCAAGTCCCAGGGCAGAACAGCCGCTCTGGAGCAAACCTTCATGCCCCAGGCACATTTGTAGGAGCAAAGCTATGTCTCTCCAGACCACACACCAAAATGTACTGACTCCGTAGCTGCTTGCTTACAAACCCACGCATCATCCTTTTTTTAATTATTACTCCCCAAGAAGTGCCTTCTGGATGTTGCCTTCATTAGCAGCACCCTGTTCCCTGTCGTGCACTTTCAGTCTTGAAGAAACATTTCCAGACAAACCTGAATACAGGGTGCTCCTAATGTGCTGTTTTTTACATGTTATTTGCATAGGTGTGCAATGAACATTAAGTTGAGAACTTTTCCCACAATTTTCTCCCTATTTTCCCATCTCGATCCTTTTCACATCAAATTACTTCAGGTCCAACCTTGGCAACCTCCTGTCTTTCTAACCTTAGTGAGCTATGGCTCAGAGATGATGTGCAGCAGAGCAAGGAAAGCAGAGGGGTTTGCCAACAGCCGCATCTCACCCAGGAACCAGCCTCTGATGAAGCAAATTAACTGAGCTGCAAAGTGAAGAGATCATGTAGCCTAGCTTAAAAAAAAAAAAAATCCCTCTTCCCTTTCTGGGGAAGCTTGGAAGAAGTGTTGACAGGGATTCTCGTCTTGATGACCTTATCAAACCAAGAAGCAGACCCAGAGGACGTGAGTGTAAGCTGTTTCCATGCCGATGTCTCCCATCTGAACACAACATCTGCGACTCAGCTGGGCTCCTGTGAGGCAATTTCCAGTGCCGAAACACTCTCCAGAACATGCCAGGAGAAGAATTAACACTGATGCCTGTGACCCTGGCACACTTTGCCTATCAGGGGAAAGATCTTGGGGTTTTTCTTCCAGAGTTCTGGCTTTTCTTTCTCTCCCATAGCTCCTTGGCTGCCAACCGAAATCTGATAAAAAGCCTGGTCCTCAGAGATTTACTCATTTTTTCCTCTATTGCCGAAATGCTGGCAAAGCAAAGGGGAGCCCCTCTCATCCCCCTTCTTCTCCAGGCTAGAAGAAAGTGGGGGAAGGCAGCACAGCTTGACTCAATGTCGTCTGTGAAGCCTTCACCCTGCTTATAAGGGCTCCTGCAGTGGAGGTCTGGTCCACATCTGGCACGCTCTGTCCTGGGGATGGGAAGGGATGTTGAGGATGGGGATCCTGCTCGGGTTGGTGTGCAGCTTGGTCTCTAAACCCAGCCTTGCATCAGGGCAACCTTCCATGTCTGAAGCTGGTTTAGGGAGGTCCATGCAAAGGTGATGCAGATATAAACCCATTCCACAACCCTTCTTGGGCGTGTTGGGAGGAGCTCAGGCTTTGTCTTTGGAAACCCCACTGCCCAAAGCAGCTGTCTCCAGGGATGGTTGAAAACCACTGAGCCCATAAAAGCCAGAGTCAACACCTCACTTTGGATACTGAAATCCCTCTCCCACATTTTCATCCGTCTTCTTTTCAGTGATTTGTTTACGGACCTTAGGGTGGGATTTTAGCCCTTTCTTTCAGTGCTGGAGATTATCCTCCTCTGCTGAGCCTTTGCAATGCTCGACCAGCCTTCACAGTCACAAGAAACATTGATTTTTCTTAAAAAGGCAATGGGACTGCCTACAGGCAGGGATCTGGAGGGGAACAGCAACTAACTGCAGTGCAAGACGGGGGCAGTTTGGGAGGGAGGAGGTGTTTTTTAGTGGATCTTGCCTTTTTAAGAGAATTCTTTTCTGCTGGCAGAAAAAGTAATTTTTAAAAAAGTTGTTTAATTTTATAAGTCTGTGCATAGATGAAATGTTTCGAGGATCACATACCGTCAAAGTTACTGTCTTTGCGCCACTGTGGTAAATTTAAAACCCAGTGTGACAATCCAGTTGAAGACTGCAAGATTTCCTTGTGTAATCTCACGTTAGCTGCTAGCTAAATAAGTATTAGCGAAAGCTGGCAAATACCATTGCTGTGTTAGTTTGTTTTTTTTAAAGAACCTCTGCAGCATTGTAAGGCTTTGTGATTACTCACAATATAATAAAAAGTGGTTTGGAGGAGAATAAACCCAGATCCCCCAGATTTATTGCCTTAGTGCTGGGAGAGCAGCAGCTGTCACTGGGTCTGAAATGCAACATGGCTTCTCTCCTTGCTCTGCTCAGCCCCACCAGCCTCACGAGTGTTGCATCTCCAAACTGGGGGCAGGATTTGTCCTCACTGGCAGAAAGGCTTCAGAGCTTCACTGGCTGACTCAAAGGAAATTATGGACATGTGGCAGTGAAGCAGCACAAGCGTATCTGGAGCAAATTTCCAGGATCTGCTCCAAAGGTTGTCAGAGATGGTGGGGATCTCTTCATGGATTTGGCCAATCTGGGACATGGTCTGCTAGGGTTGAAAGACTGGATTTGCAGAGTGGGTGATGCAGGGAGAGCCAACGAGCTGTTTCACAAGACCATGGGGGTGGGAGGAAGAAAATGGGTACAGGCGCGATGCCACGGCACGGAAAGCTGCACGCTGCAGACCAAAGAGGTTTCAGTGGTGAGATACATGTGGTCCAGCTTCGGCACCGCTCTCCGAGGAGTGGGGGCTGCTGCGTGGAGGGCTAAGAGCATGCAGAGCCATTGCAACTAAAGAATAAATAGAAACATCTCAGGAGGGCTTTGCCTGCTCTTAAATAGCAAATTTAATTTTAAGCACTTCTAGATGCTGTGTATAAAAGTGATGCAAGCAGACACCCAGTGAGAAAACTGCCCCAGGGAAGCTGCAGCGTTCCTGGTCCTCCCAAGCCTGAAGGAACAACTGCATCTTCCATCCAGGCAGGCTGCCTGGAAGAGGCTGTTGGTTCTCCATCTGCCTCCCAAAACTGCCCTGTCCTCTAGGACATCATGCAAAGTACAGACTATAACCTGCAGGTAGGCATCTCCAGGAGAGGCCAGATCCTGCTCCCAGCACTGGGATGGGATCCCTCCTTTCCTGGGAGAACAGGCTCAGCTGGAGTGGTGGAGGGTGTCCTGCTGTTCTGGTCTTCCAGGGGATGGACACTGTCCAGGGAGCAACAGGTCTGAAGCTGGCTTCTCCCACTTCCATGTGAATGCCCCACTTATATGATGCTCCAGCGCTGTGCTGGACCTTGTCCCTCCCAGTACTCCTTTGCCCCTTGCCTTAACTTCTTCTCATTTTGCTATTTATTTATTTATTGCTGTTATTTACATAGCCTTTCCGAAGCCGTCTGCATGGGAAGAAGCATGCAAACCTCCATCAGCAGCTTGAGCCCCTGCGTCGCCCACACACATGTCCCTCTCCACCACGGGACCCAGACACCTGAAACACAGCACTGATGTCCCCAGAGAGGAAAAGGCACATGGTGGCTTCAAGCTTGGAAAATTTGAGGAGGCCCTCATGCCAGCTTCCTGAAGCTGCTGTCAGCTTGATACCATGGTGCGATGGACTAAACCCTGGTGTCAGACATTGCCCGAGCCACCTGTGCCAGGAAAGCCAGCCAGGCTGGTTAGCTGAAAGCTCTGGCTGTCTCCAGGACCAGCTCAGCTCTGCGGCCGGATACGTTTGCCCTGGCAAGCAAGATGGGTGTTTTAATTAGAGGCTGAGTATTTTTAGAAGCAGGAAAACCTCAGCGGAGGCTGGGCAATAAGGATAGGCTGGGTTAGGGAGGGGGAAGAAGTGGCTGAGCTGGCGTTTGCTTGCAGCACTCTGTCTCCTGGAGGGTTATCAGCATCTCACCCACTTTCCAGCATCTTGGAAAAGACACCGAGGATTGCTTCCCTCCATCCGCCTCATGCCCAGGGCAGCATAGGAGAACCTTCTTCACTTTATTTAAAACGATGCACCTCTTGGTATCCAAAAGCTTCCATTTTCTCCTCGACGGTCTGTTGGAGCTGTTTCTCCTGGCTGTCAGCTCTCAGCCTACAGAATTCCCTCGCTGACTGATTATGTGACTGACTTCATAGCAGCAGTAGGTGCCGTCCCTTTTAAAAATAGCTGCTCCTCTGTACATTTGCCATTTTGCAGGAGCTTTTTATTTCCAGCACGTTTGTTCCACACACCCTGGCTTGGTCAGGCTGGAAAGCGCAGATGAACTCTTGCCATGCCAGAAAATAATGCTGCGTGGCTGGGCATAATCCTTCTGGCTGCCCTGGGATCTGCCTCCTGGGAAAGCTTTGGTGCAGCAAAACCCTCTGCCCCATGCATGTTTCTAGAGGCAGCACCGTAGCATTATTCCTGCTCCATCACCCCTGAGACATCCCCTTCCTTCCCTTTTTGAGTAGACAAGTAGACCTGGGAACCTGAATAAAAGGTGGAAAATTGGAGCTGAAACTAGGCCATCAGATAAATCCTTTCCTGTAATAAGCAGGGAGTTGAAGCACCGGCCCTTAATCACAGCCTTTGTTTCCCAGCATTTGTATGCCTGTGTGCACCCATCCCTTAGCGCCAGAAAAAACCCGCCCTCCTTCTGCCCCATCCCCACCCCTGCACTGCTTTTCATTAATGGCATTAAAATAAAAGTGGTTCATTCTGCCATGGAGGAGCACCCCGGAGGAAGCAGCAGCCTGCTGTGCCAGGTGCTGAGCATCCTTCACAAAAACCCCTGCCAGCTGCAAGGGGGTTTGGGCAGGGGGATGTGCTGCCACCCTGCCCAGCTCCATCCCCTCCAGTGGTCCAGCCTCCACTCTGGGTGCACCCCAGGGGGATGAATCACACTGAAAAAACCCAAATTTTTGCTCCTGGAAACTTTCCCACCACTGTGGTGATGTCCTTTAACCCCTGCCGCTGCCTGCCTGGGCCTCTGCGCCACGTGCTCCCCTCCTCTTCCTCGTTAGCGGTGGATGTGTGTCACTGCGCTTGCTGGTAATTGACTGGGGCCGTGCTGGGAATTTGAACCTACATTTCAAAGAGATCATTAACCTCCTTTTCCTTCTCTTTGAACTGCTTCGCTTATTGTAGGTTAAAGGAAACACACGACTTCTTCCTCCCAGAGTCCCTTTTGATGGGTGCCCAGCACAGTAGAGCTGGTGGTTTTTTACCAGCGATGATGTTGGCAGTGGTATGCTGTTAAGTGGTGTGCAATGATGCATTTTGGTGAGATCAAGCTGCCCCTTGATTTCAGAGGGGA